GGAATTTTCCACGTTCAAAAATATCCACATCACAACTCACTTTTTATCTCCACTCAATTGGTCAGTCCAAATCAAAGTATTATCTTTGATCTATGTTACATGTTCCTAGGAGGTAAACCTGACTGACTTTTCTTAGGCTAATTGTTTATTCTCATTCAGTTGATAACAATAAACATTGAAGAGCCATGTAGCACAAAGATGACTATGATAGCCCATCACAGGAAGGAATTTCTAAGAGAAAGGCAAACACTATGTTGTGGACAGACACTGTAAATATCTGGGACTCTTATTTCAACTACAGCTGTCCACTTGTTTATGTATTGACCTTACTTGTAATCTTTCAGAAAAAGAGAAAGAGTGGGAGAAAGGAAAGTGGGGGAGGGGAGAGAAGGAAAGGAAAGAGAGAATTCTGTGGCTAAAACTCATCTGAAATCACTTATGTAATCCACCTTCTTCTTTTTTTTTTTTTTTTATCCAAACGGGATCTTTTCCTTAAAATGTAAGTGGATCTAGAATATGGATGTATGGATATCACATTTGTTTCATTATAGGATGCCAACTCTCACAATTTCTCGAATTTCCACTGATCTTACCTTAAAGTCTTTCTATAGAGAGTTCCTTTGGGAAACATTTTTTTGGATACTTTTTCCTAAGACTAACACTCATTTATGGAATACCCAAGAATAATTCTGAAACTACCCAGGAGCCCTAAAGAGCAATATATTGTTGTGGCAGCTAATGTAGGAATTATTCTGCTTCTCACTGAACTATCATGGTCGCTTGTTTTAGTAACCTGATGGCCCTATCTTCTCTTTTCCTTTCTCCCTGAAGCAACAACCTTGTAACCAATTACCGTCAATCCCTTCTGTTGTCTTGCACATTTCACAGCACAGGCATTAAATAGCACTGGCTTATCTCCTCCATGTAGGACAGGGATGGGATTCATAGTCCCATGTTTGTTTTTCCCTCAGAAATCGGTGGAGTAACTGCTGGTTGCCTGGGTGAATGAAAGGAGAGGTAGAAAGACAGTGGGATTTTCCATTCTGTGCTGTATTTAGTATTCTCTTATAATATCTAAAATCAAATACAAAATTTCTTTGAATCCATCCTTCCCCAGGAGAAACATGTATTTTCCATTATCTTAATTTGACTATTTCATGTAAACTAATATTTGAGCTTATTACATTAAAGACTATCCATTGCTTGCAATCTCTGAGTTACTTAAGAAAGTATCTTCCATTAACTTGACAATAAAAAAACATTGTCAAATAAATTATTTCTCCCTAATCTGGGAGGCTAAATATTGTTTTACTTCCTCATTTTGGAATAGTTAATATGCTTAAAATAGGGAGAAAAGGCACTTAAAGCAACTTTAAATTGGCACCACAGTTTCATTTTTAAAAATAGAGGAAAAGATTTTGATTAGAACTTTATCTTAAAAAACGAAACCAAAATTGTAAAAATGTGATAAAATATAATCAAATATTTAGCTAAATTTAGTTTTTAATTGCAAACATGGTTCAATTCTTAGAGAAGACAAAGAACATTGTTTTCTCCTTGGTATCATTAACAGACAAATTTATACTATTGCTTGATACTGTATTCTGCACAAAACATTTTATTTTTTTGGTATAATAATAATGATTATTTTACAAATATGTATGTGCTTAATCGATTTTTTCAAAGATCTCTCTTAAGCCTTTGATTTTAAATCATTCTCTTTGAAACTCCTATCCTGTCCTCATCCCTGTTAACTTTTTCTTCTTCTCCCATTGTTAACTGCTCATTTGCCAGTGGCTTTAAATGAGATCTAAGTATTTCTCTAATAACCCTTTCATGGTTTCCATGGAATCCTGTACTTTTTGCAAAGCTTGAAGTTTCATTTAGCAGTAAATTTGCACTATATTGGCCTTGAAAACATCCAAGAATAGAAACAGGCCAAACCACAAAGCGAAGGGAAGTCGCAGGAGAGGGCTAAATAGATTCTACTATTAAAGCAAGATGGAGGTTAAAGGATGTTTGAGGGGAAACAATTTTCATGTCGTTTGTTCATTCATGAATTTTATGTTTTTTTGATTCTCTATGTAATCTTATAGTGCAAGCCCTTGGAAAACAAATACACAGATAAAAAGCTACCCTGTATATAAGAAAAATGAGGTACCATTCAATTCAGTTGACCACCCAAATCCCTTAGAGAATTAAGAAAAAACAGCCAGCTCCACATTTCTTAGTTCAGCCTAACTTTACAGATCTTCATAGATTTGTGTAGATTATGCAGCCAAAAGCCCTATGAAATAATTTGTAAAATAATAGTCCAAGCAGTCGAATATATCTATATTGTACTCTGGGTAATATTTGGGCTGGTTCCAGGCAACGCTGTGATCTAAAAGAGGAAGATATTGGTGCTTACTGTCCTCCAGTTTCCATTAGGTAATTTTCTTAGGTGCTTCAGTGCTTGCTCTCTTTCTTTCCTATCCTGCTTTTCTGGTTATCAATGGTTGCATAACGAACCACACCACAAGTTAATGGCTTAAAACAATAATGTATTATTATCTCTCATGATTCTGTGGGTTTATTGGGTCGACTGGGTGGGTCTCACTTTGCAATCTTATATGTAGTTATGGACAGATGTCAGCTGGGCTGCAGTCATCTAACTCTGTACTAGCTGGACATCCAAAACGACTCATTCACACAGTTGGTAATTAATGGCTGTCAGATGGGAGCTCAGCTAGGACTGTTGAGCAGAGCACATACTCTTGCCCTCTCTGTGTTGCTTGGGCCTATAGCCATGCTTTCTTCTAGGAAACTGAAAAATAATGTAGGTTAACCTGTTAATAACTACTGAGTGTTGCCTAACATTGGCAAAATATTTGTCTTCCAATAGTCTTCTCATGGCAAATGATTTGACTCAAAATAACTTTATGAAGAGAGAAATTTGGGGAAGTTTCAAAATGTACCACAAATAGCAAATGGCTTCTTAAGGGCCATATAGTAAACTCAGTGATATACACATAGTAACTCATTTAATCTTCCAGCAATCCAATGAATTAGGTGTTATTTGTATAGCCATTTTACGGGTAAGGAAATTAATGCTTGGAGGCAGTAAGGGACTTGAAAAATGTTTCATGACTGTTAAGAATTTCTTGGATTTCTTCCCAGATGTGTATGGTATTCAGTAGTTGTTCTCAACCACAAAGAATATTGCCTCCCAGCCTTACAAAATCTGTCTCTATTCCCAAGAATGTAGAAACATTCTGAATTTCTTTTTCTTCTAGTGTTTCACAAGCCATTTAACTTTCATCATTTTATGAGATAATCAAATAAGATACCAAACATAATTGACCTTAACTTATCCTACCCCTCACCATAGACACAGTGGGATATATAACAGTGGGATGGAAAAAATAGTGAATATTTAACACACATATTCAACACACATATACATATGCACAAACACACCACACACACACACAAACACACACTTTTAAAGAAACAACCAGCAGAACCTTTAAATTTGGAGGCTGTCAAATTATCCTGCTTCAGTCAGAGCAGAAGTATCTCTCATTTATTTAAATTACCTAGCACGTTTTGGAACCAGGGCTCAAAATTAGCCTCAAGTTGAACTATAAAGTGGCTGCATTGACAATATTTCCTTATTAAGAAGTACAGGGGAAAAATAAAAGACATACAACAAAAGATTTCAAATATGTCCGGAATCTTTGTCTTAACTGACAGGAAATTCTCAGTTCTACTGATGTTGCATGTATTTATTATCATCTGGAAACATCTCCTGAGATTTACTCTCCTCTCATTTTCAGTCCGTATGTTTTAGGTGCAGCTGACCCACCCTTCCGTTCTAGGGGTGAAACATGACCTGGAACTTTCCAAAAGAATGTTTCCATGGCTCCAATAATCGATTCAGAGGTAAGCATGTGACAAAACCCCAACAATCAGAGTCCTCACAAAGATTTTTGCAAGAACTCTTAGGCTGAAAGCACTCCTTTGCTCTGCGGAAGCTAATTATGAGAAGGTATAAGCCAAGGCTTACCCTGGGCTATCACTAAGCCTTGGCAAATTGTCCTCATTAATTCCTCCCCTCCTTGCATGCATGCCCTTTACAATGTAACTTTGCTACCACTTCCATCAAGAGATAAAGTTTTTAAAAATTATGTAGAAAGAGTCTGCCTGTGGATAAATTCATTAAGAGTAAAGCAAAAAGAGATAAGGAGAAAGAGGGAGACAAAGAAAGTGAGAGAACTAACAACTTCATTTATGGTCCTGTATCTAGCCATGTATGAAGTACATCCCTGGATTTTATAGATTCATGAGAAGATAAAATCTATTTTCACTTAAACTGTTTGAAATGAGGTTTCTGTCATATGTGCCCCAATAGATCTTGGCTTACTCTCCAAATTATGTGTTCTTACCAACCTCAAGTTAAAATTGCATAATTAATTTAAGATGTAGAAATAATGAAACATTTGAGGTAAGCATCAAGCAGCAATTACTATCTGTATATTCATTAACTATTAAATGTAATAGTTATATTTATATATAATACATGGGTAACATTAAAAAAATTGTATAGGTAAATATAAACATAGAGATACAATTCTCTATTACTTTTTCCTGATATTAGCAGATATATTAATATATTATTCATGGAAACATTTGAAATTTATTTTATATATATGTATGTATATATGTATGATTCTCTATTGCTTTTCCTGATATTAGCATATCTATTAATAAACTTTATAGCTAGTACCCTCAAATTCCAAACTCATATTATTTTTAGTTACTGTCCAACTGCTTGACCCATCCTGAACTATTGAAATACACCTAAATTATGGAAATTCATACTTTGCCTACTTCACATATATTCACTATAGCTTTTTACAGTCTTCTGATTCTTCAATGCCTTCATACATTTTTAGTCACTCAACGAATATTCACTGAGTATATTTTTTTCAATGTTTGCTGAGTATATGTCATATACCAGACACAATTCAAGGTACTAGAAACATCTTAATGAATAAGATATATAAAGTCCATTTTCACACACAGCTTAAGTTTTATTGAGGTTGAGAAACAATAAGCAAACAAATGATTAAATAATATAATTTATACATCTTGATAGATGTTAGGAAGGACAAGGGAATAAAGTGACAAAAAGAGAGGTGGCATTTTGGGTGGCCAAGGAAGACCTCTCTGAAGTGGTGACATTTTAGCAACATAGCCCTAAATGAATTATGAGAAGGAGCCAGCGATGAAAGTATCTGCTTAATAGTGTTTCCAGAAAAGGGAATAGCAAGTTGTCATTTAAATTAAAATAGAAAAAACATGTACATAGATAGATTCTGCCTATAGAAACACACAGATTTTTCCATCACTTTTATCTTTTCTAAAAGTATTATTTTTTAAACATATACAATATGGAGTATGATGTGATTAGATAGCACTCCAAAATATTACCACTAGGTTAAGGTTTAATAACATTATATAGGAAGTATCATGGCACTATGGAAATGAAAGATGTTTTAACGTGATTCCAAGCAAGAAGTAAGCCTTCCTATTTAAAGAATTTGCGTAAGTCCCCCCACCCTTCATGATCAATACAGAGGCTACATTCATCCAAAAGAATTCTGATACCTCAGGGGGAAACAGTTATCAAAGGGATTGTAGGAAAAATTATGCAGATTAGAGTGACTTTCCTTTTCCCTTTCTTCCTTTCTGTCCCTAAACAATTCTGTAGAAAATCCATTAGGTAGTGCCAAGCAAGGTAAACATAGGGGCCATGGTGTCAGAGTCCGAGAATATTAAGGAGGGCATCCGTGAGGAGGGGAGATGGTGATTCAAGCCTGACTGAGGTGAGGAGGTGTATTAGTCTGCTCCGGCTGCTATAACAAAATACCCTAGACTGGGTAGCTTAAACAAAGACATTTATTGATCACAGTTCTCGAGGTTGAGAAGTCCAAGATCAAGGTGTCAGACCACTTGGTTCTTAGTGAATACACTCTTCCTGACTTGCAGATGGCCACCTTCTCACTGTGCCCTCAAATGTCAGAGAAAGAATGATCTCTCTCTCTCTTCTTTCTTTTCTTATAAAGTCACTAATCTGATCCTGAGGGCCCCACCTTCATGACCTCATCTAACCACAGTTACCTCCCAAAGGTCCCATCTCTAAATACCATCACACTGGGAGGTTAGAGCTTCAACATGTGAATTTAGAAGGGACACAATTTAGTTCATAGCAAGAGGATATCCACAAAGGGGTGAGCTTCAAGAGAGAGGGCAGCCCACCTTAGGATGACAAAGCCCCAAAAGAGTAAGCAGTGTTTCCTTACATGGGTGGGGGGCGAATGTCCCATTATGTGGTGTTAGCATCCAAGTAGAGTCAGGTGTGTGTTCCCATGGGAAGGGAGGACAACAGACTGCTGGTTGTCCAAGCTCAAGAAGGATGGGGAGGGTATGCCATTAGGAGACAGCCCTGACAGAGGGTCAGAAGCCAAACAGTTTGAGGAGAGCATCTGTCCAAGGATGGTGGTGGCCATCTGATAGGAGGTGTTGAAATCTGAATGGAGTGAGCAGAATATCTGCATGGGAAAAGGACCAGTGACAGTGATGACTTTGCACAGCATATTAGAGCCCAATGTGAGCGACAAGGGCATGCAGATTGGATATAGTAGCATGACACTTAGAAATTGGATACATAAGAATAATTGTTCAAATAAATATATTGAGGATAATGAGAGCCTAGTTTCTCAATGTCATACCAAAAAGTTACAAATAAGAAAAGGGAGAAAACTAGAATGAACTCTGTGGTGTTGCATTGTAAGTGGAGATATTGATGTGAACTATTAATATTCCAGATAGATAAACTATTTATGGATGTAAATGTAAATCAATATGTAAATATATATCCCTACCTATTATAACTATTTATATTTTTACGTACCCTGGATATATTCCCTACCTCCCTCCACTGAGAAGCTTGAAATCAGCAATCTCCAATAGTAATGAGCATACCTCTCACTCAGATTTTGGTTTCTAAATACCATTGTCCACTTAAGGGAGGCACAACTCTCTGGGCAAGTAATTCAATCTGTGATTGGGCAGAGAAATTAGAAGATGAGCCTGGGAAATTTTGTTGCATCAGAAAGAAGGAAATTCTCAGAAAATGGTGGAGAAATATCAAAAGTACAAAGATGGTACCTTCAAAGGGGAGCCAATAAGGAAATGTGGGACAATTTAACATTAAAATAAATATGAGAATATTGGACTGCAGCCTATTAAATAAAATAAGAATCTGTCAATCCATAGTGGTATGAATAAATGAATAAATTAAAATTTTGCTGGGAAGTGGAATCTTTACCTAGCCTCAAAGTACCTCCCCCACAAAATACTTATTAATTATAAAGGGGAAAAAAATGTAACTTCATGGTAAGGAGCCTGGCAGATACCACCTAAATCAAGTGAGCAAAATTAACATTGCCAGTAATGGAACAAATCAAAACCATGTGTCACCTGATAGGATGAAAGGAGAAGAATGCAGGGTCACTTTTGTGATGTGCCTACCCAAGTTGCATAACCTTGATTTAATCATAAGGAAACATGACAAACCAAACTGAGGGACATTCTACCAAATAACAAGCCGATAATATTCAAAAATGTCATGGTTGTGAAAAATCAAGAAAAGACCAAAGAACTATTGCAGACTCAAGGAGTTTAAAGGATCTTGACAACTAAATGTCATGCATGATTCTGGACTGGATTATTTTCTTATAAAGACTATTGACAGAACTTGAATGGAATCTGAGGATTAGATAGTAGTAATGTATCACGTCAGTTTCCTGGATAGCTGTATTGTGGTTATGTAGGCGAATGTCTTTTTTCTATACTAACATGTTCAGGGGTGATGGGACATCATGCTGGTCTCTCAGTCTCAAATTGCTCAGGAAAATGTTATTTGGATTATTCCTGTGATTTTTATAAGTTTTAGATTGTTTAAAAATAAAAATATTTTTTAAAAAATCAAGTGACAACTGTAAAATCATTCAGCAACACCTAGTGATAACAAAATAAGAGTAAGAATTATAACTAGTCATTAGAGCTGGGCAGCATCAAGAAACGATCTCAGCACAAACCACAGATATAATACAAAGATCTTCAGGGATCCAAAGTAGAAAAGCCCACTCTGATAGGATCACCCTATTATCTATACTGGTTTAGGTTGTCCACAGCAGGCCCTTAATCCTCGGTGTGGAAGAATTGGAAATTAATATCAGATCCTACCATACAGATTTTGGACTTTATTATAAATTCTATGTTGTTCTCTCTAAAATATGTGATACAGTGATTCTAAACCACATTTTTGTCTTAAAATTCCTCAGTCCTCCATGAAACCACTCAGTATACATATTACATGGAAATATATATTTTAATATAAATTCCTGGACCAGAGGTTCATACATAAGCTCCAAAAGAGCAAAACTAGGAAAGTGGTTCCCCATAGAGAATCATTTCTTAACACATAATAGTACTAATTTTGCTATCTATGATATTATATTGAAAAATACTTGGCTGAACTGAATGTGCTATATATATTTACACAATAAAATTCCCAACTTAGGTCTACAAAACTTAATTATAAATGAAGATCTAATATAAACATTCTCTGGATTTTAGTGTAGGAGTAATGCTTCAATGTGTGCTTAAGGATAAAAGTAATTAATAATAAATCACTCTACCCTCAAGAGTTGTAAATCTGGTTGCACTTGAAAATCTCCATTCTTCTAAACTACATCCTAGTGTTTCTTTGGAAAGTGATGAAATTTACACAAAATCAGAGGATTAAGTCTCCTTGACTCAACTTTGCTCTCCTATAAAATGGGAACTATCAATTTTAGTTGGAGGACAGACTA